TTGTTTTTTTTTCCCTTCTCTCTCCTCCACCAGAGATGCTTTCTCTGAAGAAATACTTCACTGAAGGCCTCATCCAGTTCACCATCCTGCTCAGCCTCATCGGGGTCCGTGTGGACGTGGACACCTACCTGAATTCCCAGCTCCCTCCTCTGCGGGAGATCATCCTGGGCCAGAGCTCTGCCTACACCCAGACCCAGTTCCACAACCTGAGGAACACCTTGGATGGCTATGGCATCCACCCAAAGAGCGTGGACCTGGACTATTACTTCACCGCCCGCCGGCTGCTCAACCAGGTGAGGGCCCTGGACAGGTTCCAGGTGCCCAGCACCGAGGTCAGTGCCTGGCTGGTGCACAGGGATCCCGAGGGATCCGTGTCTGGGGGCCAGCCCAGCGCCGGCTCCGGCCTGCAGGATGGCAGCGGCGCCGAGAACGGGGTGAGGGAGAGCGGAGCCGAGCAGGGATTCGGGGAGGAACTGGAGGATTTGGGAGCCGTGGCCGCGCCGGCGAACGGAGACCTCACCAAGGAGGTAGGGAAGAGCTGCTTTTCCCGGGAAAAGTTCGGGGGGGAAGCTGTTTAAAGGTGGGATTTGGGAGCTTTCTGGTGCACGCCCAGCGAGCAGGACGGGACGTTGTGTGTGTTTGGCACTTAGGGAAAGTGTGTCCCTGCTCGGGAATGTCGCAATCCTGGATCCTGGCTCGGTTTCAGCGCTCCGGGGGTAATTCCAGGGGAAATTCCGGGGCGGTTTTTTCCCCCCCCCCCCACTTTTTTGTTTGGTTAATTCTGGGTTGAAAGGAAGAGTGAAAAGAGGGGGAAGGGGGTTTGGGGGCAGCAGAGCTCTCGTGACTCAGTGTTGGGCAATGGAGCAATCCAGCTGGGGAATAAACAGGAGCAGTTGGGAAAGAGCCCCAGCCCAGGTGTGGAGCAGGTGGTTGGGTTACTTGGCTGGAGCCCGGCCAGGATTCGTGATCCCTGGCTCAGTTTTCCTCCCAGCTGGGTGGGGAGAGGTGAACTGGAAAGGGGGTTATTTCTCCTGCCCGAGCACAACCTCTGGGATGCAATTCCAGGCTCTTGGAGAGCTGCTGGTGTGGCTTTGGCTCCGTGGAGCGTGAGGGGGTGTCAGGGGTGATCCGTGTCCTTGGGTCTTCCCAGGATCGTGGAGAGGGATCAGTGGTGATCTGTGGCCTCAGGTCCTTCCAGGGTTAGTGGCGATTCCAAACCTTGGGTCCTTCCAGGGTCAGTGTTGATTCCCAGCCTTGGGTCCTTCCAGGATGGTGTAGGGGGGGGTCAGTGGCGATTCCCGGCCTCGGGTCCTTCCAGCGTCGCTCCAGCGTCTCCCAAGTCGTGGCTGGGCGTGGGAAGAGTGGAATTTGAGCCGGGCCAGCCCTGTCCCTGCAGGAGGGGAGGGCAGCTGGATGCTGGGAGCTGTTGTCATGTGGCTCCGGCGCAGCAGCAGGCAGGGAATGGGAATGGGAATGGGGCGTGGGAATGGGTGTGGGAAGGGGTGTGAGCGCCGCAGAGGCAGAGGTGATGCTTGCTTTGGGTCTGGGATTGATGGATGAGCAGCAGGATCCTTCCCTGGGAATGGTGTCCTGATTGGACCTGCAGGTTTTCCATGAGTTTTCCCAGGGGGGTCTCCTGGCTCTGCTGGGCTGTGGGATCGAGGGGGAAAATCCCATTCTGGGTTGGGAAGTGACCTTGGAGGTGTCAGACGGACACAGAACACCCAGGCCAAACCTTCCCACCTTGTGCTACTTCCCTGGGAGTGGAGAGAGGCAGTTCCCTGCCTCGGGAATGGCGAAGGATGTGATGAAATGCCCTGTGCAAGGTCACTCCTGGAAGGGTCCGTCGTCCTTCCCGAGGCTGCCATTCCTGGCTGAGGGCCTGGGGAGCCTTCCCAGTGCCGGGGAGGATCTGATTTTAGGGAGGAACGTTGCGGATTTGGGAGGTGAAGGCTGGTGGCTCCTGTTTTCCAGAGGCCTCTGTGCAGCTGCATCCCGGGATGTGCTGGGAATGAACCTCCCGGCCGGGCTGGGAATCTCCCCCAGGGCAGGGTGTGGAGATCCGCAGCTCCCGGGCTTTGCAGCATCCCTGCTCTTCCCCGGGTGGCTGTTTGCCACGTTTTCCCCCCAAGCCCCTGGATGGACAGGAGGGGAGGGTGTTGTTGCCAGGGCCCAGCTCCAGGAAATCCCGTCTGGCTCCCACGTCACTCCAGTCACACCATCCCTGTGCCCTCCTCCCCCGGGGCCAGCCAGACCCAACTCGCTGCTGCCACGCTCCAAACCAGCCTTGGTTTAGGGGGTTTTTGGGGGATTGTTTTTCCCTTGGTTTTGGTGTCTTTGTCCCCATCCTTGACTCCCTCCCCCAAACCTTTCCAAGGGGAATATCCCAGGAAGTCTGCAGCTCCCTGGGAGGCACCTGCAGGGCCTGGGGCGGGTGATGATGATCTGCAGATGGCTCCAGGGCCGGGCTTTAAATTTTTCCATGACTTTCCCTGGCACATTGCGACTCCCTGGGCCAGGCACGACCTTGCTTGGGAGTTGGGGGGGGGGGAGGAATATGGCTGATTATAAATAATTTTGGGAATGCTGCGGAGGGGCATTTTTTTTTTTGGGCGTTGCAGTTGCGAAATAGGGAAATACGGAATCCAGTTATTTTATCCCACGGATAAAACAAACCAACAAACAAACAAAAAATTAAAAATAATTAA